GCCCCGCCCCCGACGCCGTGCGGCCAATCGGCGCCCGCGGCCGGGCTCTTTAAAAAAAGAAGGGCCGGCGCGGCGGTGTCAGCTGGAGGATCCCTCCGCCATGTAAACACGCACCATAAAGGGCGGAGGCGTCGCCGCTCAGCCCTCGCGACCGCCTCCGTCAACGTCACAGCTCCTTCTCCGCCCGGGAGCCGCAAAATCGCAGCAGTGAGGGCCACTACCGGAAACAGGGCGAACTTGGGAGCTGGGAGCGGGACGGAGTCCGGGAGTACGGCACGCGCACTGAGCGAAGGAGATCCTTGGACTAGTTCTGTGCGCCTCGGAGTCGGGGGCGGGGGGGGGACAGTCCCGACCCGTGCGTCCGCAATCTTTCCCGTGAAGGGTGAAACTGCCTTGCCGCTCTCCCGAGAGGGAGCCCAGGACAGGAAATCAACTCCGGCAAGACCCTTGAAAGCACAGATCACCCTTGACAAAGGGGGACAGGATGATTCTTTTCCACCTTATGAAAGATTGTCAAATATTCAGCCAAGTTAAAGAATTTTGCAGCGAATTGTTCCATACCCAGCACACTACCTAGACCCTGCCATTAACATTTTATGATAACTTGCTGTAGCTCACACATGACACTGGCGACTTTCTAATTTGATGCCAGCTGTCACTTGGCTTAAGTCTCCACTGCAGTGGGCAGATCAGAGCCCCAAAGAGCTAAGAGCGACCTTCTCAAAGGACCTGTCTGGACTCTTGAGGGCCAAGGGCCTCCCGCAAGAGTTTACTGCAGAGGCGGCATCTCCGCTCCCCACCCCTGCCCTCTAAATCCCAGAAGCCTTAAGGAAGAGCCTTCATTTTTCTAGCGACCCCACTCTGATGACCCCACCTAACGGGGCCTGGCAAATGGTCCCACCACGGGTTTAGCTATTTTCTGGGGCAGGACACTACGCACCCCTCTCCTGCCCCCAAAACTGCGTCAAAAGTGTTCACATGCCTTAAAGTTCCTTAAGCCCTCGGCGCCTCTGTCGCCTGTTCTGCACAATGGGGGAACCGCAAGACGGCTGTGAAGAATCGGGGCAACGTCCTAACACCCGCGCTGCACACACCCTGAGCGTTAGCTGAGTGACAGCTATCGGTGGTGGACGCGGACGTGCCTGTAACTCCCGGATAGACGTCTCCACTTCTGATGTCCCTTCTGCAGCCCGCTGGGATCTCCGACTGCACCAAAGACGCGCAAACGTACTCGGCCAGAAGTGGACGCATGGTCGCCGCCGCCTCCCACTTGCTCCTCCACTCCAGGTGAATGCCCGGCACAGCCTGCACCCCGGCCTGTGGTCCGGAGACCCGCACGCCTCGCTGTCCCTCCCCGATGTATCACCGCGCCCTAATTTTATCTCCTGCATTTGCATCCGTTCCTGCTAAGGAACAGCACCCTGCCTTATTGAGGTAGGCGCCATCGCTGTCGTCCGGATCATATCCGAAGTCTTCGGCCCCTCTCCCGGCCAAGCTCGCGGTCGCACTGCCCACGGACCCCTCTGTCCCCTGCAGCACCCCGCCTTCCAATACATGGAGGAGGATCGCTTCTTCGCTACACGAACTTGTCGCTTCAGCCACCAGTGCCTCGCAGTTCTTATCTGTCACCCGGGAAGAGGGGGTGCCTGCGTCCTAGGGCGGACGCGCGGGTGAAACGATGATCATGGGGCCGGAGCCCGGGACGGCAGGGCCCGAAGCGGCCGCTTAGCACCGCG